CACCCCAGCTACAGCTGCCTTTTTAAGAAAACCAGCCAGGCACAGTGGGTGCCTGTGCACACCTGCAATCCTAGCAGGTCAGGAGGCTGAGGCAGGAGGACGGAAAGTTCAAGGCCAGCAATGCACTGGGGCCCTAAGTAACTTAGTGAGAGCCCTGTCTCAAAATAAAAAAATAGAAAGGGCTGGGGATGTGGCTCACAGGTTAAGCACCCCAAAAAAGTGTAACCGCAGCATTGCCAAACAAGCCAGCAGTTGTGCCCCCAGGAAGTGAGGGGTACCTTAAAGAAACTCTCTACAGAGTCTCAATCAGATAATTGGATGCCAGTGTCTTTTGCAGCACCATTCACAATCGCCAAAGGGTAGAAATGACTGACTGCATCGGCAGATGAATGGGTTGACACCACGAGGTACAGCTACGTTGGAAGACTATTCAGCCATGAACATGAAAGAAGCCCTGGCACCTGCTGTGGCAGGCAGGGCCACCAAAGGACAAAGGTGGGAGTCCACCTGCATGAAAGAGCTGTGACGGCACCTTCAGAGGAGCAGGGCGCAGACTGGGGGGCCGGGCAGGCAGGGGACAGTGAGGAGGCAGAGTTTATGGGGGAGAAGGCCACATCACATCGCTGAACTACACCCTGAAACACTGATGCAGAGGTCACTCTCGTTCCCTGTGTCGCACCACGGTGTTGGCGAGGTGCTGGGGTCAAGGGGGGCCCGGGCCGCGCGCAAAAGCCCGCGCTCTGCGGCTGCGCGGTGTCACCAGCCTGCACACAGTTCTTAGGGTATAAATGGTCCCACTGGCCATCTGTCATAGACGCCCAGACAGTGAGGACAAAGCAGTGACGTGGTCACCACGTGCACCCGGCTTCTGAGACCCTGCAGCCACCGGCCCCGACCAGGAGGTGGCTTTGCCTGCAGGTGAGGGGAGTGGGACCTCGCTGGCTGGGCACCTCCTGTGCTCCGTGTCGAGGGGCACCGGGGAACGAGGGGGCTCGGAGGCCACATCGCGATCCTCACCCCAAGGGGGCGACGAGGCCTGTCTCTGTGGGCTCCTCCGCGGACAGGCCACCGAGCTGCCCGCCTATCCCACTCAGTGACCCCTGAGCACCACCCGTGTCCCTGCTGTCGCACACGGAGAGACCAGAGCTGACCCCATGGCCGCCGACAGCCAGGCTGCGTCCCCAGGACTGGCTTCCTCCAGGACCTGGCATCCCTTCGGGTGCCACCATCAGGAGGGTGGGGCCTGGCGCGGACTCCGTGGGAGGCTGGGGCCTCACCTCCACGAGGGCAGGAGGCAAGCCCCGGCGGCTCCTCACCTGACCATGCCCTCGCCTCCTCTGCTCTCCGCTTCCCTGACCTCCTGGGCCCCAGGTCCTCCTCCTCCACCCGGAGCCGGCCGGGCCCTGCCTGTCCAGCCCGCTGCAGGCCGAGTGAGTCTCGCTACGCCCACGTCCAGCTTTGTCGTCTATACAGTGGCCTGCATGGTGGCCTCCCCACCCTGAGGACCGTGGGTCCTGTGGAGAGGCTGAGTCTGCCTCTGTCCTCTCAGGACAGTGGCCTCTCGGGGACCAGCACACCCTGTCCTCAGGGCTGGAACTGGCCAGCAGGCAGTTTGAACGCATCCTTTCCAAAATGCACATGGAGACCTGGCCCTCCGCAGGGCGTGACAGGGGAGTCTGACGGGGATTAAGTCCCGAGTCCTCTGCCTTTCATGTAGGAGCTGGGGGGCTTCTGCCTCCCACCCCTCATCTTGTGGACACACAGCAAGGGGCACCACCTTAGGACAGAACAGTCCCCTGACCCAAACCACCTTGGCCAGTGCTCCCCAGACCCCAGAACTGTGGACATAAAGAGCCGCTCCTTGGTGTCTTGTCACAGCAGCACAAATGGACCAGGTTGTCACCACTGCCCGCCACACATGCACCCTGGCCCTGCCACCTGGCTAGCTGGGAGGCCTCCACCGTCCCCAGATGCCCATCACCCAACACAAGGGCCCCCAGGTTGTCCTCACCCTCTCACCCTCTCCCTGCGCCTCTGCCTGATCCGCATCCACTGACCCCGTCGCGCTGCCACACTTCCGTCTCTCCCGTCCCCTGTGTGCTGGTCCAAGTTCCAGGGCTGTGCCTCCCACTGACCCCTCCTGCCCGCCCTGGAGGAGTGTCTGACCTCCCTGGAATCCTCTGGCTGTCTCCCTAGAAGGTGTCCCAAGTCCTCTGGCCTCTGCAGTCACCAGTATCCAAATAAAAGGGTGAGAGGCCCCTCCATCCACCCACCAAGCCCCCGGGCACTCACACGCTTCTGCTGCCTGCACCCCTTCCTGCTGGACTGGACAGTGCTGCCCCTCGGGCAGCGCCTGCAGACTGCCCCCCACCACGGCCTGCACGGCCGCTCTTCTGTTTCTCCCCGAGGGTGGAGGCAGGGCGGCCCTGGGGCCCAGCAGGAGACCCACAGCAGGACAGAGCCACAGGCCTGTCCTCACCCCAGATCTGCCTCCGCTGTGCCCACCTGCCAGGCTCCCCAGGTGTCCAGCGGCCTGCGTCCTACAGCCCTGGCCCTGGATCTGTGCCAGGTGTGCAGCAGAGTCACTCTACATGCAGACATCCAAACACAAGTCAGCTTTTCATCTGGAGAGCCGCTCACAGCCCGCCACTGACCGGACCTCTCACACCTCTGCCTGTGGACACGGGCTCCCCCGGTGCCCCAGCTCCTCTCCACACCTTGAAGTCGGCTTCCAGGAAGTCCCGCAGCCTCCCGGGAAACTCCCTGGCTCTGAGCTCGGCCCGTCCAGCAAGGCCCTCCCCTGCCTACGGTCACTCAACCCCGGTTCTCTTGTGCAGAAGGAAGCAGCTCTGCCTTCCAAGCAGGCCTCCAGCACCCAGGGCTGTCCACTCCAAGTCCTCTGCGTCCGGCCCAGCTGGCTGCTCCGGCAGAAGCTGCCCTTCTCAGGCTGACCTCCCATGTCCCTCCCCCCCCAACCCGGGGACAGCGGAGCCTGACAGTTAAGGACAAGGCCCACAGGACTCCCCTGAGGCCCCCCTGCTGGCTCGTGTGGGCTCTGGGGACCCCCATCTGGGATCATGACAGCACCATCTCAAGTCACAAGGTTGATGGATACTTATCACCTGCCCAGAATAGCTCCCGCACACAGCACACAGGAGACCTATCATCATCGGGTGTTTGCCGTGTGTGATCCGCCGCGTACGGCAAACACAATCCCGACAAAATCAAAACAATCGTAAAACAAGCGCTGCCCCTGAGGCCGCCAACCTCCAGGGCAAGGGTGCCCAGTCCCCGGCCCCCAGCTCCCGGCCAGTGGAGAGCCCACCACTCACCATGCCACGCTTCCTGACAGGGCCTCCCTGCCTCCCAGGACCTGGCATCTCCACCGCCCACCTGTGCCCCTTCCCAGGCCCACGGAGCCTCCCTGACCGCCCAGGGTGGCCAGCTCTGCCCAACCCAGGCCCAGGCAGCCTGACACAGCGACGTGAGTGCTCTCAGACCCGAAAGGGAGTCTCCCCGGCCGAAGCCAGACCTGAGGGCCAGAGCCTGCCCGCACGCTGCCCAGGCCACCACCCCACACAGAGAAGCCCTCTTCACAGCGTCTCCCGCAACGGCCCGTCCAGCCTGCGCAGAGGGCACCTGGTCGCAGGGCCGCCAGCTGTGATCACCAAGGCCCCTCGCTGAGCCCCCTAAAGCCCCCACCCTGGCCCCCCTAAGCACACGGTCCACAGCAGCTGCTGCACTTGATCAGGAATGTCCCCAAAGGCTCCTGAGTGGAGGCCTGTCCCCCAACCCGGAGCAGCATTCAGAGAGCCACTGGAGCTCGAGGGCCCTGGCATCTGAGTGGACGACTGGGAGGTCACACTACAGGCTGGGGGCACGGGGGAAGAGGCCCACCCACTCACTTCTCGTCCCTTCCCTCCTCGCCCCACACCCCCTGGAGGCTCTGCCTCACCGCAGGCCCACAGCAGTGGGGCCATTACCTCTGGACCCAGCCGTTGCTCATTTGGACATCACCTGTCCACCTCTCCACCCGAGGCGTCCTCCTGGAGAGTGGACACCCTGACTCATTTAGCCACTGTTTCCTGGACCCCCACCCAGGCGTCCCCAGGCCTGTGGACATGGCTCTTGGGCTCAGCCCCAGGACACAGGCAGTGGTCAGGAGGACAAAAGACGCAGAAGGGTCCCAAGGCCGCCACGAGCGGGGCCCCACCCCAACCTGCCCTGGCAGAGCCTCGTCGCGGCCACCAAAGCCAGAGCCGAGGTGCAGCGAGAGCAGGGACTCACGGCACGGGGGCCACTGTCCAGCCAGACATGGCTCCTGCGTCCCTGCCACAAAGGCAACTCGCCACCAAGGCCAAGATGTCCAGCTGCCCAAGGAAGAGTGCACGGGCCACCCGTCTCCCGGGCAGCGCGCTTCTGTCAGAGCCACAGTGGGGCAGGACAGCTCTGGAGCGCCACCCTCCCGTCTCTGCAGGCCTGGGGGAGGGCAAAGAAAGGGGCACATGCCCAGGGAGGGGCTCTCACACAGTGCCCGAACAGTCATCAGCCCAAGGCCAGTGGAGAGCCCACCACTCACCATGCCACGCTCCTGCCTGGTGCCCCTCCCCCCGGGGGCTCTGACCAGGGCCAGCCAGCCAGGTCCGAGTGCAGACCACACTTTTTTTTTTAAATATTTATTTTCTTAGTTTTAGGTGGACACAATATCTTTATTCTACATTTATGTGGTTCTGAGGATCGAACCCAGTGCCTCATGCATGCTAGGCGAGCACTCCACCACTGAGCCACCACCCCAGCCTGCAGCCCACACTTTTACGAGCTGGGTGGCCTCTCCCAGGAAAGTAAGCCAGCCCTAATGAGGGCTGTCCCCAGCCAGCCCCAACACCAACAGGGAAAGAGCAACACTGAGGAGCCTCCTTTGGGACAACACGCCACGCAGACGGGTATAAAAGCCCAGTAGTCCAGCTCCTCACTCACACACTCACCCACCCACCCACACACCCACCCACCCCCTCCAGCACACCCACCATGGCCGCCTCCACCATGTCCGTCTGCTCCAGCGACCTGAGCTATGGCAGCCGCGTCTGCCAGCCCGGCTCCTGGGATTCCTGCCCCGACTGCTCCTGGCAGGTGGACGACTGCCCAGAGAGCTGCTGCCAGCCCCCCTGCTGCGCCCCCAGCTGCTGCCAGCCCAGCTGCTGCACCCCAGCCCCCCGCCTGACCCTCCTCTGCACCCCAGTGAGCTCTGTGTCCAGCCCCTGCTGCCAATCAGTCTGCACCAGCTCCTGCACCCCCTCCTGCTGCCAGCAGTCTAGCTGCCAGTCTGACTGCTCCAGCTGCTCCCCCTGCCAGCCGTCCTGCTGTGTGTCCCTCTGCTGCAAGCCCGTGTGCTGCAAGCCCGTGTGCTGTGTGCCCGTCTGCTCTGAGGCTTCCTCCTCCTGCTGCCAGCAGTCTAGCTGTGAGCCCTCTTGCTGCTCCTCTTCCCCCTGCCAGCAGTCCTGCTGTGAGCCCTCTTGTTGCTCATCCTCCCCCTGCCAGCCGTCCTGCTGTGTATCCCTCTGCTGCAAGCCTGTCTGCTGCAAGCCCGTGTGCTGTGTGCCCGTCTGCTCTGGAGCCTCCTCCTCCTGCTGCCAGCAGTCTAGCTGTGAGCCCTCTTGCTGCTCATCCTCCCCCTGCCAGCCGTCCTGCTGCGTGCCCGTCTGCTGCAAGCCCGTCTGCTGCTACAGACCCTCCTCCTGCGTGTCCCTGCTCTGCCGCCCCGTGTGCAGGCCCGCCTGCTGCGTGCCCGTCTCCTCCTGCTGTGCCTCCTCCTGCCAGCCCAGCTGCTGCCGCCCGGCCTCCTGCGTGTCCCTGCTCTGCCGCCCCACCTGCTCCCGCCAGGCCTGCTGTGGTGTCTCCTTGGGCCAGAGGTCCTGCTGCTGACCAGCCATGTCCCCAGGCCAGTGGGCTCAGGCCCCACCTTGGCCTCTTCTCTGCCTTTGAGATTCAACCCAGGACAATGCTGGTGCCCACCTCAGCGTGACGGTCCCATGACTTCAGGTCAGCCTTGGCTGTCGGAGCTGCTGCCTCATGTCAGGTCCAGATGAGGGTGAGACGGCCGCCCGGCTAAGTGGCAGGGGCACTGGGAGCCCTGAGGCTGTGGGAGTCCCTCCTGGGCACGCAGCCCCCCTCCTCTCCTAGCAGCTCGTCCTCCCTCCCCCTGAGCATCTTGCTCTGAAATTAATAAAGGACCTTGGCAGCCTCCACGTGTCCCTCTCCCTATGTGACAGTCGACTCTTTCTCCGGCTAACACCACGTTGGCTCCAGCATCCTCCAGGCGAGCCAGGCCTGGGACACCTGCCGCAGTGCCAGGTCCCAGGGCCCAGCCGACCCTCGGCTCCCAGGGCTGAGCTCAGGGTCCGCGCAGCGATTTCTCTGGTAGCCGTCTAGCCAGTGGCTGCCTCCAGTCTGCATAGCCATGGTCAGTTCAAGGACACTGAAGGGCAGGGGGAGGCTGGGCAGGGTTTCCTGGGGTCCAGCTGAAGCCCACACACTGCCTTCAGCCACTTGCAAGGAGGCCCTCCGTCCCTCTTAACCCCAGCATCTCTCACTGTCACAATCTGTGCCCATGAAGAGCAAGGCATCCCACCCTGCCTGGGCCAGGTCCAGCCCAGGGTGTCAGAGGGCAGGAGGCCTCTGGGGTCTGAAGCAGGCTTGCTTCCCTTGGAGAGTCCCCTCAGGGCCAGTGTAGTGGGGCCTGCCCGGGTCCAGAGTCCTAAGGCCCATGCCTGCCCCTCCCCCAATCCGCAGGAGCCTCCTGCTGGCTCCACTCCTGCTCCCACCCACAGGGCACCCCTGCTCTTACCCCCACCCTGCGGTGGTGGGAGGGAGTGGGCTGGCCTGGGCTAACACCTAGGAGGTCCAGAAGTCCAGACAGATGTCCCCCAAGTCCCTGTGAGCAGCTTTAAGAGATCACCTGACCCTGAGCAGTTTGACTGGAGGGGGGCGGGGGGGGGACACAAGGCAGCTTTTCCAATGCCACCTGCTCAAAACCTGGGGTCCCCAGGAAGCTGCTCTGAAAGGGAGGACCCCCCAAAAACTAGACTTGTGCAGACAAACCAGGACCCTCCTCCCACAGCCTGACCTCAGAAGGCTGCTGCCCTGGGGGACCTTGTCGTCCCCACCACTCTCCTGGAGGACCCCACATGCCAGACAGTGAGGGAGTCAGTCCCCCGGCAGCCTGTCAGTCTGCACAGGTGCCTTAGCACCTGCACTCAGGCCCCCACTGGCCTGGTGACCCTGAGCCTGCCGCCTGGGACACGCAGGGACCTTCTCAGAAGCATGTTCCGGAAACGCACGGAACTCGGTCGCTGTGACGCAGACAGCTTCCAAAAGCTTCCCCATCGGGCTGGGGTGTGGCTCAAGCCACAGCGCGCTCGCCTGGCATGCGTGCGGCCCGGGTTCGATCCTCAGCACCACGTACCAACAAAGATGTTGTGTCCGCCGAGAACTAAAAAATAAATGTTAAAAATTCTCTCTCTCTCTCTCTTTAAAAAAAATGATAAAAATAAATAGGTCTGTTTGACTCAGAAATCTTTGCCTTTAAAAAAAAAAAAAAAAAGCTTCTCCATCAAGGCGCTAACCCCCGGAGGGGTGGGCTGCAGCTGAGTCAGGTCTGAGGAGTGAGGGGCAGCCTGCCAGCTTTGGGTACAGTGGCCTCTTGTCCGACCCTAGAGCTGCTAGGACCACAAAGACGCAGCGGTTCCCATCCAATATCCGCGCCCCCGAATTCCATTTCTGTCCTGGACCGAGCCCAAGGTACAAGCGCAGGTTGTCCCCGGTCTCTGGGACCCTTCCCTGGATTGTCCCCAGGAGCGGAGTGAGGCGTGGGGAAGTCGGTAGGAGCACGGGGACGCCCCCGCACCCACAGCTACGAAAGAACGCAGCCCCAGGGGAGAGCCAAGGACTCCCGCTGCCCGCCAGGCTGCGCCGGGCTTTCGCACACGCACTGGCACGACGCGGGCTGGCACAGACCGCTCTGCTGCGCCCGGCAGCGCACACCCGGCGCCCGGCGGCTCCATACGCGGTCCTCCAGCGGACTCCACCCGCTGCGCAGAGAAGGAGCCCGCGGTCAGGCGGGACCAGGGGCCTTGGACTGCAGACCTACGCGGAGGCGGGGCTGGCCTTTCTCCTCCTCCTCCTCCTCGTCCTCCTCGTCCACCTCCAGGGGCCGAACCCCAGACACAGCTGAGACGCCCCGAGACCAGATTCACCAGAGCCCCCACCAAGCCCCGCCTGGGGCCAAAGCGAGGAGTGGGACGAAAGGCGAGCTGTGAGCCTAGGCCCCCGCCCGCCCCTCAGAGGACTGGACGCACGACTCCGGAAAGGAGCCGGGAGAGGGAGGCCCCGTGGGGTACGGGCTAGGGCGCCCGCTGCGGGCCGGACAGGAGTCCTCAGGCGGAGTGCGAGGCTCGGGCGGGAGGGTCACAGCGGAAGGCCACGTCCCCAGTCGTCCCCCAGACTCGGCAGGAGCGCGGCTCCCGAGGGGCGAGGAAGGGCGGGTTCGGCCGCACTGCGACGGTCGGGGCCTTTTCCGTGCTTGGAGCGGCCGTGAAGGGCCAGCCCGGCTCCTGGGGCCCAGGGCCGAGTCTCTGAGCCTCGGCAGAAGTGCCGGGTAGATTGGACAGCTGCCTCCGATCGCCAAAGACTCTCGGAGCTCTAAGTGACCGCGACGTGAGGACCAGCCCTCCACCCGCTGGGGAAACCTGGAGAGGACACCAGGTCCCTCCTGCACTGCCCACCTCCCTGTTGTGGGTCCTTCCAGGGCCAACCCAAAGCCACAGGGCCCGGTGGGGCTGGTCCCAAACTCCACCTCACTGGCTCCCAGCAGAGGGAACTGTGTGGACAGGCCACCAGCTGGTGAGGACTCACAGGCTGCCCAACCGCAAATCCTCTGAAGTACTCCAATGGCCTAAGGTGTGCTTGGCCGAAAGAGGGCGTCCTTGGCTCGGGGTCTTCCTGGAACCGCCCAGGGACCAGGACTCTCAGGACTTAGCCCTCCAGCACCCACCTTCGGGCAGGCCCAAGGACAGGTCAGTGGAAGAACTGTAGGGAGGAGCTGCAGGGGAGGCTGGAGCAGGCGGGGCCTGCTGGCGCCTCCAGGGCTCAGCGCCCTGGGAAATGCAGGCCCAGTCTGACCACCCCGGCCTGCCCCTGCACTCGGCCGCCCGAGGCCCCACACGAGCCCTTCCCCCGCTCTACCCTGCCTGCATGTGCCCCCCCCAGCCTCCGCCTGCAGGACCCGGGGTCTCAGCAGAGCTGCAGCGTCACTGTGACACGACCTCCCTGCAGGCAGGCCAGCGTCTCCTTGAGTGGACACCAGGAAGGGATGCCCCAGAGATCAGGGCCCTGGTGAGGACATCTCTGACTGTCCCTGTGGTAACACTCACTGCAGGACACCGCAGGGAGACGCAGGGGAAAGGCCTCCTGCAACCTGTAAGGGCTGTGCCTCCACCCTGCTCCAGTCCCACCCCCTCACTGTGCAGGCCCACAGCTGGACAATGACCCCTGGATGGTCCTCGCAGAATTCCCTCACCTCCACACAGGCAGGAGGCCACGTCACACTAGGCTCTGACACTGCTGTCAGGGCTCTGTGTCAGCCCCTTCCAGACCCTGGCCCCTGTGGCTCATCAGCTCACCCACCTGGAACCACTCTCCAACCTGAGGTTGGTCCACAGGATGGACCCATCCTTCGCCCTTCATCTGACTGCCCACCTGGGCCATCTCTCCCTGAGATGAGACCACACGCGTCTCCACATGCACCTGAGCAGAAGGGACCCAGGGCCCACCCCTTGGAGAGCCAGGCACCGATCAGACACTCAGCCTCGGACTCCCCATTGCAAATAGCCACACCCCTACTGCATGGGGCCCTGGAGTGCTGAGCTGGCTAGCATCGACATGCTGGCCGCGGTGGCCTGCAAGGTCCTGATTAGACCTTGTCCCAAGCCCCTGCCTGCGGCTCCCTTTCCAGGCCCCTGGCCCAAAACTGGGCAGAGGAGGCTGCCCATGTCCAGCAAGCGGCCTTTCAGTGCCAGGCCTCCTGGATGACTGGCACACCCTCTTTCCACCCCAACACTCAAAGGGAACTCATGGAGCCGCGGGCTTAGGTCCCGCCCATCTAGGGCCTCTCAGGCCCCCCAACAGCACCAATCTGACCGTTGAGGCTCCCTAAGGTGCAGGAGTGCACACATCTTCCCTCTGCTGCCCACTGGGTTGGGGACACCTGGAAACCCCAGCCTGCAGGTTCCTACAGCCTGACAGTCACCTTATTTGCAAACCAAACACTAAGAAGCACAGCCATCAAGAGCAAAGAGAGAGGAGGGAAGGGGTGGGAGAGCAGCTGCAGCCCCTTCCCCAGCTCCAGAGAGGGGCGTGGGCACCAGAGGACGCACACCCCGGAGCTCCATGGCGACCGGCGACCTGCACATCAGCCACCAGCTGTGGTTCCACAGCACGCGTGGTCACAGACTTGGGCCACCACCTTGGAACCCGGGCCGCAGAGCACACGCAGGGTCCCAGCAAAAGCTCAGTGCTTTTCAAAATTAAACGTGACAAAGTGACCTTTAAAATCTATTTGAAACCCTCACAGGCCATCATGACGGTCTCCTGGGAGCGTTCCCAAGTAGCCCCATGTCATTGGCTTGGCGTTTGTCTTTCCTCCCTGGTCCACAGTACTTATAACTGGGTCATCTTTTAACTCTCTGAAGCAAACCTCCCGGGGAGAGGGGGCGGGCTTTATAAATAACCTTTATTATTATTATGCAGTTGATTCTGTTCCCAGCACAGAGGGAACGTGAAAAGACACGTTTGTGACTCATCCCCACCAGGGAGGACGGCCGTGCACCATGGCTACAGCTGGGCACTGCACAGGGTCCCTCTGAGGCTGGGCCTGGACGCGTTGGTCCCTGCGCTCAGCCTTCGATGAGTGGCAGCCCGGGGACTCTGCATGATGGAGAGCCGATGGGGCCCAGGGGCCCTGTTTGAGGCAGCCACTGTGGGCAGGTGCAGATACTCGGAGCCCTGGAATGGGGGCTTCTGTCTGTCCCTGACACCCACAGTGACACTCTATCAGTGCCCCTGAGCCTGTTCATGCCCAGTCCACAACCTAGCAGCTGGCATGGTCACTTCCAGCTATTCCTGAGAGCTGGGGCCCTTTCTGGACCCTGTGCCCACTACCCATGCAGGTCAGTGTTCCAG